GCAAATGGCGACGCCATATTGGGAAATATCAACCAATAGCATCAATGCGTTCCAGTGAACTCTATACATACTGGAATGAGTGATCTATAGTTCTGGCTGTTGCCGAGAGAGAGGTGCGTTGGGTGAATCCTTGTCTCCTTCTAGTACTACCTGATTGGATAATCGCATATAAATGACTCCCTTCTTCTCGTCATTTATATGCGACTATCCAATCAGGTAGTACTAGAAGGAGACAAGGATTCACCCAAACGCACCTCTCTCTCGGCAACAGCCAGAACAATAGATCACTCATTCCAGTATGTATAGAGTTCACTGATGCGTTCAGGGCACCAATCAGAGCCTGAAGGTGCAATTTCACGTGCTGCTGAAATAAGCAAGTGGAGCGACAGATCTGTTTCAGCGGCTAAAATTTTGTAGTTTGAACAGTTTCAACTACAAAGTTAACGCTCAAACGTTGTACTATGTAATGTGGCAGCACTGTAATAGTGCGACGTACGTCCGCAGTACATCGCCGACGATGGCAAACATCGTCCTGTGTTTCACAGTAATAGCATTTTTTTCATAACAATTGCAACAACTGCATTATTTTCAAATTCGACTTTACGTTCATAAATGAATTTGTTACAATTTAGTAACCAATTGTAATATTTTTTTGAAGCCATAACTCGGAATTATTCTGTCTTTCCTAGAAAACACAATAGAAATGTAGAAAATAATTGAATAATTCTGATGAAAATTCATTCCAAACAGTTTCATAATATGCACCTTAATTGGTACTGCACGTTTGAGGTCCTGTCGCTTGAAGGTTAGAATTGTCTTTTAAAGACAGATTTGCTGCTTCTTGCTATTTTTCATGTGCCATAGTTGCTGCTGTAACAATTCTGCGACAAAAGTAATCACGTGACCCTTTTTGTCGCTGAAACGGCCGGTTCGAGCGACACGTGAAAATGCACCTTGAGCGTTCAGTTTCTCTTCCTCGACTGCGTTCAAAAACACCACCCGAGTACCCCAGAGTATCATTTTATCCTTGTTTAACATACGGTGAGCAACAAGGATAGAATAATACGCTGGGGTACTCGGGTGGTGTTTCTGAACGCAGTCCTCGAGGGTCTGTCTCTAGCTGTGCATACAGAAAATACCTGGCGTGCCGCATGAAACTTGTTGAGAGAGGTTATTATTGTCGACGTACTTATCCTGTACGTACAGGTTCAGGTATATGAAATTTTTTACCTTGTAAGATTAAATAAAACATGGCTTTGCCAACTGTGGCGAAAATAGGAATTGGATGGTAGGCATCTCCTAAAAAGGGACAATCCGCGTTTGATAATTAAAACAATTTTCTTGCGTGTGCACTCTTATTGTAAAATCTATGTCTTGCAGGTCCGTAGCCACTGTCTTGGGACTTTACGCATTTGTGCTGTCCAAGAAGAGCGTCAATGCCAGAAGATACGAGATTATGAAAGCTAGACAACGATTGCGCAACACCAACGTTGTAGATTAATTTATTATTTCAAGAAATATTCAAGATAGAAAAGTTATCAAGATAGACAAGTTGCAATGGCGACATTACCACAATTGGACCAAGACAAATTGAAATTGGTGCAGGAGCTGGAGATAGAAATGATGTCCGATATGTATAATCGTATGACATCTGCGTGTCATAGAAAGTGCATAGCACCAAAATATACCGAGGCTGAACTAGGCAAGGGAGAATCGATATGTCTAGATCGCTGTATCGCTAAATACTTGGACGTTCACGAACGCATCGGCAAGAAACTCACCCAGATTTCAATGCAGGAAGCTAAAGTCCCGGAGCCACCGAAACCAAATTAAATTAAATCACTTGTGCCATCTTTCAGTGCGATTACAGTTTGTAACCTGTACGAGTTCTTAATTCATGTTTACATTTAGAAAGAAAATAAATTGAACGTTTGACTTTTTCAATTTCTCAAATATTTCAAATGGCTGTCGTCCAAGACCAAAGTGCATAAAAATTTGATTAAAGCATCATACCTGACATTTAACAACTTTTATTCATCATTGAAAATATAATTTCTTGTCCGTTTAAAGTATTTGTTTTTCACGTATACTTTTAGACACAATCGTTTGCAGGTAGAAAAATGCCTGTTCTGGTGATACATAATAGGTGGTAATGCTAACAAGAACACAATATATTAATTATTGTAAGCATAATGAATTAATTTGTGACAATCTAACAGAATATATGTATATATACAAATTCAAGTGTTGTGGATTCGGAACAAAATTGGAACCTTAACGGAAGGATTTCTTATACTTGCGTTTGGCAAGGTAACATCGCGAATGTTGAGAATGACTCATTCATGTCTAAATTTCTATCACATACGCAATGTCTACAATGTTGAATAATATTAACCAGCAGTTTTATCTTTCACCGGACGAATCGTTGCCAAAGCCAAAGTGTGCTGACCGCCGCCGCTGACTCGTACCACCGTCTTACCCTCCAACTGCTTTCCCTTCACTAATGCAGGCTCCTCGACGTCTTTCACATCCCCCGTTCCGAGATTTCCATTGGTTCCCATACCCCACGAATACAAATCACCTATCATAATAGAAAATGGATAATAGGAAAATAGAAATAAAGAATTTCGAGTTGAAATAAATACATTGGCATTACCAGATTCTGTAACGGCAAAAGATTCTCTGCTACCTGCGCCTACGTCAACGCATTTGGTAGAGCTTAGAGCAGGAACTAACGCGAGTTCTTCCGCGTCTGAGCAATTGGGTCCGAGGCCGAGGCGACCATACTCCTTGCGACCCATCACAAATACCTGTCCCGCATCGTCCAGGGCGATGGTATGATGTTCTCCGCTGCTGATATGTCTCCATACTTTGCCGTTGAAGGTCTTTGACACTTGTGGATGAAAGTGGATATCATTGTCCTTTAAACCTAAAAGTTGAATCGCAAGAGATATGCAGTCAAGAGACAGCAGTCGACATCATTGGAGTATGCGATTGAAAAGTAGCTCTTGTACCAATTTGATGGAAATTGTTCAAGCCAAACACATATATGTCTCCTTTCTCGTGCTCCTTGGCAAAAGTGCAAAAGTTTCCCGCCCATATATCATCAAAATACAACTTCTTCCTGATTTTAAATTCAACTACGCCGGGAGTGAGTAGCAGGCCTATTCCTTGTCGTGTATTTCTACTAGCTGTGCGAGCAGCTACTCGTCCCAGTTGTCCTTGTTCACCGCGTCCGCAGGTATATACACGTCCGTTTTCACTAAGTAACACTAAATGATCGTTACCCGATGCTATCTTGACGACTTTAACTTTGGGTAACATCTCGACAGGAAATGGCTCGTTTCCCTTCAACGTTAGTCCCATTGAACCGTGCGTATCCTGTTGAGAAATCAATGTTAATGTTAAATGTCAGAGCATTATGGAGGTAAACATACCCTAAATGTGCCCCAGGCGAATACCCGGCCATCCTCCAACAATGCGGCGGTGTGCGAATCTCCTGCAGTGACCTGAATAGCCTTGCCAGGTAATTGAATGACGCCTGGCACCGTCTCGGAGCCTTCTTTGCTGGTGTCTCGCCCGAGCGCTCCCTCGTCGTTGCATCCAAAAGTCAATACCTCTCCCATCTTCCTCAAGCATACATTGTGCATGGCGCCGGCTGCTACGGCTACAATGTCCGGGTAATCGGATATGGCCGCGGGACGCATTTTCTCAGTTACATCCTCCCCCAGGCCGAGCTGTCCAAAATCACCTTGTCCGAACACGAGCATAACGCCGCCGATCGGGAGCGAACGCAAGTCAGGTTTCACGCATAATCCTGCGAGGAGGAAAATTGGCTATTTCAACTGAAAAGATAACTCTCTCTTTACGAGCGCAAAATCGCTCCTACCTTGCTTCTTCTTCACCTGCTTTGGCGCCTTGTCCGCTTGCGTGGGCTCCTCGGCCGTTCGCTTCGTCGGTCTCCGTGGTGGCACTGCAACACGCATTTTCAGGTTAGGTCCGCGAACGTGGCCGTAAAACGCTTATCCTGACTGTCACCCGCTAGTCGGCGGGCGGCTTTCGCGCCGGCGACTATCCGCGTACTCACTTCTGCCGCTGTTTCTCGCCGATCGCCAATATACCTCGTCGCTTGCCTCGTTGGCGCCAAAATTCTCGCTATTCCGTAGCCTCGCGACCGCGTTGCGCAACTCGTCAAGTGCCTCTGAGAGAGAGAGGAACGGTACGCGCGCGCACGCCAACAGCTGCTCGCTTCTCATTGGCGGATTTGAATTCTCATTGGTTGCTGTCAAGCCGCTGCTACAAAAGAGAGCTTCCTCAAAGAAGAATACTTTGGAACGCTATTTCCAACTGTCACTCTAATCGAAAGCACATTTTTTTGCGCAACATGTATTGAAAATTGGCGCGTTCACTTATTCACTATTAAATGGAAAATTGCCTCGCAAAAAAAGGGAAAAGAACCGTTACGGCCCCGGGATAACGATGAAAATTTTCCAACTTGCACGCGCGCGCGTGGCGTTTTTGCAAATATTACAAGGCGGCTTCATAAAAGCGACTGCGGCGCGTTAAGAAAGTTTTGAATTCCGCGGTTTAATATCCCGGCCTGTTGGCGGATTAATATCGCGGATCTTGGGGCAGCGAGATTTAGGACGCAAGTGTTTCCAACCAAGCGGAATTTTCAGCGGCTGGCGATACGTTTATTTCCTTTTCACTTTTACAAGGTACGAAAGACTGCGGATAAAGGAATTTCAAATGAGCGGAGAGTTCATTCATCACGTTTCGACGATTGGTCGCAAATAATTTTGCATTTGTGACACGTTTCCTAATTATGCTTGCGTCCCTCGAGCGGTCGCAGCGCCAAGTGGGAGTCACGTCACTGTTGCGAATTAACATCGGCGAATATGGCGGGCACGTTACGGCGGGCGCGGGCAGCTCTTCTTTTCGGGTAAGAATCGCCGAAACTATCATCACTCGTCGTAGTCGCTAATCGAACGAGTGTGCAACTTGTCGATCGTGGATCACGTTTCGCCGAATATATCCTCCACTCGGCGCCAAGAGTCTTGGAAAGTCGTCGAGATCGCCGCGTCGCCGCGTCGGTTTCTTTCATATCATCATACATAGTCTATCATACATAGACCAAGCATTCCGGTCTGCAGAGTATAAGCTTTTTACTTGTTTCTCATTCTAGCTTATTACTGATGGAATACTTTCACTGCCCATAAAAAGGTTAGCTAATAAGCTAGAGTGGAAAACCAGTAGACAGAAATCAAATACCTCTCTCTCTTTCTCTCTCTCCAACTTGGTCTATGTACACGTACATGTCCGTGGTTTCCACGTCGGTCTTTCTGGGCAACTGCAATTATGGATAAGCAATTAATTCGGCCGTTCGATCCTCCGTTTCATTCGTCATTCTAGAGCTGCGGAGGTGAGGGATCATTGAGAGCGTCCGCGATTTCTTAAATTATTACCGAGCAAGTAAGTGTTATCACGCAATTTCGTTAAAAATTGATTTCATGTATTAATTACGGTTACTTGATGCGTATAATTTTCTCTCTTTTGTCGCTTGCACGCATCGCGAAATCGTAACGATTAAATATGTGCGGATCTCCGAAAAACCATTAAATCTAGCGGGTTAATTGAGAGATGAACATTTTTTACGTATCATGATTTTTCAACGAGTTTCCAAATATCTTTTTTAATTTTCCATTTTAATAAATGTAATATCACACAAGCTGAAACATAATTAGCAAAACTTACATTTGACGCTTCTTTTTTTCGCGCATTTCCATCATCGCTAATAAGCGCAATTTTCTCAGCTTTTGCAAGCATCCAAATCATAACTGTTAAATTTTTGGTAGAATTTTGGAGAAATCTCTGAAATTTCGATTACGCACTAGTAACAGACTATTAAGACTTATCAGTACTCGTCACACTTGAAACATCAAGTTGAAATTAGCAAGATATGTTATAAAAACAATTCTATGAAAAATTTCTTTATTAACGTTTCGTGTACTAATTACAGGTACTCGATACGGCGAATATGAAAGGAGAAAGAAAAATTGGGCCGCGAGGAAAGCTGCGTTTGAGAAATTCATCTTTCTCGTCGATGCTGGCACGAGGATGATTTGCAGCGCCAAAAGAGCCCACGGAGAAGAGATTCTAGTCTTGGGCGAAAATGTGTTATCGCCCGGCGATGCGCGCGGTCGCGAATTCGCGGCGGAGAATGGCCGGTGATACGGCTCGGCGGGGGGTGCAGAGGGTGCCGGCCGGTTATCAGAGGGGTCGGATACGCGGAAGCGCGCCAGTCGACGGCGAGACTTGGCCCGCGCAGCTTCCCCCGTTTGTCTCTCCTTCCGACTGGTCGTCCTACGTTGGTCGACGCGCCGCGGAATCAAGCAATCGCGGTTCTCCGCGCGAACGTCTCTCCGCGAGAGTATTCGGCAAGTGGCGGAAGAGAGGGGTTCGCCGTTCGAGAGTGACAGCGACGTCGCCGATTCTTCGTCTCCGCCGACAGGATCGTTTCATGTAGAGTGACGAGGACGACAGGGATGACGCGCCGATTTCTACTGCTGCTGCTGGCAGGGGGTGAGTAACCCCTTTTACGTGCATTACGTGCACGCTTTAGTCTGGAGAACGCGCGCGAGCCTTGGTGATCGCGTGATCGCCAAGAGTCCAAGGGGTGACGCTGTCCTTAACGCGCGACCAGTCACGTAACAAGCTCGTGATCGGGGCAAAAAAGGAATCGTGTCTCGAGCATCTAATTATATCTCATGAAACCTGAGAAACATTACATCTTTTCAACGCTCGAGGTTACATCTATTATCTAACTAAATGTCCAACATAAAAAGAAAAAGAGATTGAAAGTTAAGTAGTGAGTAGAGCCCTCTTGGCGATCACACTCTTGGCCAGCTCTCGCTCCTTTTCTCGCGTAAAAATTTCAAATTTGTATATCTCGCACATTGCAAAACAAACTACGTACAAGTTGGGCAAATTAATCTCCATTCTTTTCAAAATTGCTCCCGTCGTAATTTTAAGCGGACGAACGCTGATTACGGTCTCTTCTCTACTCTTTGCGTATCTACTTGCATCGCCGTGACGATGACTTCTCGGCGGCCGCGCGACTTGTTGAGCCACCGCCTCTCGATGGAGAGGAAACGAGGCGTGCGCCGAATTGGCGCGGGGCAGGACAGAAATTCGACCTGACGAAAATGGATTGATTTTACCGCTAGGACAAACGTATCGGCCAAGCGTTTCCGCAATCAGACTGACAATGAGTCGTGACCTTTGTCACGGGCGTCCACACGCACGTGCTCTTAAAAATACCGCCTTCGAATAGTTCTTTCCGTGTACACGGAGAGAATTTTCTTGTAAAATTTATTCTGAAAATCAAACAACTTAAATGTATACTAAGGCCAGTAGGCATTCATAGTCAGATCTTGAATTTATCTAAAAATTTATTCTTCATTATAAAAAACTGCCCAGATCAACAATTACTTTAGTTTAGTTGAGCTTGAATGTTTACGCAGGTTTATCCGTTGTGGGCTAGAATCTAGAAAACTGTAGATAACCCGAAGATAGGGCCTTGATAAATAATATTTAGATATCGCAAGAAAATTATCTGCAAAAGTTTATCCCATTCTTATTTGCTTGAATCTGAGGTACATGAAAATATTTCTATTGCCTAAATGTTTCTCTTTCTCTCCCGGCGTCTTCTTCACTTTGCATCTAGGGCTCAATTACCTATCACATAAATTGTACGATCGAATGTATTTGATCGTGTTACATCAAGTCTTTTACTGATCTGAATTCTTGTTGCTGTGAAAAGCGAAATGGAACGCACAAAACACACCAAATCTAGAATTCTTAAATTTCTTTCCTCAACTTCCTTAACGTATCTAAGGTAAAGTTGTATAAACCTGCGATGTAAATAAATTTGGACTGCAACCACTGCGAGCGAATCAAGTATCGAAGAAAGATGGATTCGTGTTGAAAAAGTGGGCGACGAGGTCACTCACTCATTTCGAAGTAGAAACGACGAGATGGAGAGTTCGCCTTTTTACGCCTTCTCGAAGAAGACACGTTTTCGCTTTTAATGTTTCTCATTCGCGCCGGGTAGACATTTACTCATCTCTCGTTCCGGTCTCAAAGTGTCCCTCGTATCCCCGCGAAACGCAACTGACGTGAACGCCCGGGTGTCCATTTTGCGGCGCATTGCTCGCGCCAAGACGGACACGGCAATCGAAACAAAATGTGAGAAAAAAGAGCCGCCGTTAACCCAGTTTCTTCGCTATCAATCATCACACGGTATTCCGTGGCACACGAGGCGCTGATAGAATTTCTGATGGAGATTGTAGAAAGATAGCTGCCTTTCGCGTTGAAATTATTATACGAAACGCTCTGAAAAAATTTCTAAAACTGCGTCATTCTTTTTACGAGTTCCGCGATAAGATCCGAAATAATATATTTTTAATAGCAATTTCACCTGGGTCACTCATAACATTAAATGCATCCATAATTCACTGTTACATTCGTAGTGACTCAATCAATAGTCGCCACTGCTTTTATTCAATATGTAGTCAAATTGATCATTTTAACACAAATAGTAGTTGAAAAACTATTATGAGACGAGTCCCTAATATGAATTTATTGCTCTTGCAGTGAAATCTGTTTAGTGGAAAAATCATTGTTAGATCGTGTAATCGTCGCGAAGAAAGACTTCTCAACAATTTTTCGAAATTTTAAAACAACTTTCTTTCCGTATATACGATCCCACTCTCAATGCTCGCTTGTACTACAAGTTTACTCCTAAAATTTCTTCCATCTTTTCTAATGCGCTATTTATAATTGAATATTGAAAAGTCACTGTTTCTCTCGTAATGCGCTTGTATAATAGCGAGCGTAGTAAATAAAACGAGGTTATCAGAAAAATTGATATCGCGTAGTGAATTAAACATTGTTGGCGGTGCACGCGGAATCATCTCGACGTCCCTCTTCTCTTATTTTTTATGGAGCCGCCTGACAACAGCCATTGTCATCTCAATTTTAATTTTCACTTTACAATAAAAAAAAAGTTACTCTTCTTCCCTTGTTTTCCCTCACAACATATTTTGACATTAAAACCACGCCGCCATTATACCAAACTCGAAAACTCGTGTTATTTCAGGGGAACGATATTTGAAAAAAGCGAATTCGCGCGCGATACTCGTCATGACAAACGAAACATCGTAGAAAAACGCTGTGCCGGAAATAAAAACAGTTGGGACAAAGTTGGAAAAATGCAAGAGGCAGCGAGGACGCGTGCATTAAATCATAAAGCGGCGCGAAACAATAGCGATGCTGTACGAGATCGAGTTGGATCCGAGTTTCGAGTGGTCGAGCGGCCGCGCGGGAAAGAAATAGGAAATCCGGCGAGTAGATGGTGCAAAATTCGCAAAACCGTCGCGATTGATCCTCTTAATTCGCCGCGTCGGATCGCGTTTTCCGCATAAGCGCGCGGCAAATCGCGCGGCGGCGCCTCACTCGCCCTTAGAAGCGCGGAATTATTCAAAAGCCGCGGTACACACGGGTTCCTTCGTCAAACGCGCCGTTCGATCAAGCTCGCCAAAGAAGGACAAACTCGAGAGGTACACACACCGACGAGACGTACCGCGACACGCGCTCGCGCCCGGCGCTTTCGCAATCAGCGCGCGCGAGCAGAATAAAAGGGTTGAAGCCGTTGTAAAACGTTCGCCTAAAAAAAAATATATAAAAAAAGAAATATAGGGATGACCCGCTTTCTCTCTCCGTTATCAATCATCGGCCGGACATTCGGCGCGCGAGGAACGGCCAAGGCGGGGTGGCTGCCGATAAAAAATTCCCCCAATAACAAATCGCGCGTGCGTCGCGTATCACGTCCCGAAAGCGCGTGGCGATGATTATCCTATTTTTGTCCTCTCCTTTTTTCGAAAAAAGAAAAACGGGGGAAAAAAGCCGAAAGTGCATTTTTCGTTCGCCCGTCCCTCGAAAAGTTACGCTCGCGATCCATTACAATCGAATCACTTGGCGCGCGCGTACGCGAAATATCGTCAGGTTGCGTGCGAGATCGGAATGAAGAAAAAATGGTAATCTACATGAGACCGCGGGAAAGGGTCACGCGGAAGCAAAGCCGATTATGACACGACGTGTCTGGATATAATATTCGCGCTAAGATAATACGAGTATTCGCGCATCGTTCTATGCCGATAGGGAATCGCATCACGTCTGCCGGAGCGCGTCATTCGTCGTCTACCGAATCGTACCATCCGGCCGCGCGCGGTCCATATTGCTTGCGGCCGGCAATTTGTCGAACCCCTATAAGCGGAGGTTGACGTGCCGATCGATAATGGAAATATCGGTTCCGACGGAATTTCATCTTTTTTTTGGAGCCGCGCGTTTAACGGATTCCCGCGATTTGTTCCAATTGTGTCAAAGAATGAAGTAATCACGACAAGTTATACGCACAGTATAAACGTCCGAGGTATTTCAATACCGTTACTTTGCGTCAACGTCGAATACGTAGTGCCGGGAGGACGAAATTTGAAACGAACCTCTTAAGATTTGTTTAACCCTTGGAGGACCAAGGACGATGAGGGGTAACTAAGGTCCTCCAGTTGAACTTTTATCCTAACGAATCAAATAAATCATCTCGAAATGATGAACTGTAAGTGAAAAGAAAATGTTGTCTTATCAACCACAAGAATTGGATATTTTTCTATCGGTTTAGTTTCTCGTAAATACGTGCATAGTTTTCAACTTTGAATGATTTCTATGTAATAAATATCTATTCGTGGAATTACACGTAGAACGTGGAAAATAAAGCGATATCACTTTTTGCCCGGGATTTGATAAAGCTCCAATAATGTACGTTAATATTCATCATCGCCGAAAAAAATATCCATCGACATTCGTGACACGTTCGACGGGGGCGAGCAACGCAAGGGGGGAGGGGGAGGGCTGCGAGATTTCCGGGAGGGTGGCGCGACATCGATGGTTTTCTGATTGACGAGCAGGTGCGGGGCGCATATCAAAAACAGTATTAATTAGTCGTCGAATCGCCGTTGATTTTCGACAAAGCGCTCGATGCCGACGTGGCTTATAATGCAACGGGCTGTTCCAACGGCTCTGTTTATCAATTAGCCGCGGTGCACATGCTTGCATCCAAGTTACGCGCGTACACGCGGACAAAAAAGTTGGCCAACGATCCAATCGCGTTAATATCGCGATTATCGATCTGCCGAATCGAATTGTCATCTCGAAATTCTTTGTTTCGTAATTCTACAGGCTGTCGCGTATAATGGAAAAAATATGTACGCGATGAATTGTACATTGGTACCTTAGTTACGACGGTAACCAAGAAAAATAGCAGAACGGGATTGTCGCGTTTAATTGCCGTCCAGTGGTGCACTTGGCGGCTTAGGACGATTGTGTTTAATGATCGGGTTTCTTTATCGAGAGAGAGAGCTCCTCGAGATTCGTGCTTCGTTTCTTCGCGACGAAGAAGGAAACTCTGAGAGGGGGGAGGGAGAGAAGGAAATGGGAAGATTCTCTCTCGAAGGAAGGGTGATCAG